GATAGATAGATAGATAGATAGATAGATAGATAGATAGATAGATAGATATGTTCCTTCTAAGTACTTCATGAGTGTTGGTTTCCTGTTTACAAGCCATCAAGACAGCTGTTTCTATTGTCACACTGATTTTCAGCCTGTAAGTCAACACTAACTGGGTAAGACTTCAATCAATATCACATAGACGGCACGGGAGATGGAGAGCTGAGATCTGAGCAGATACCACCTGCTTGTTTCAGACATGTATTCTGCCATGATGGGACAGTGTTAGCCTTTCCCGCTTCCTGGTGGGGATCAATTATTTTCATAGAAAGACTACATTCACTTTCAGAATAGAACAAGGGAGTGTGGACTCCTAATCTCTGAGTAGAGAAATTTTTCTCAGCCAGGTGTAAAATGTCATGGAAGATAAACAAACCTGACAGTGAAAACACCCACTGCGAACTGAAAAATGCAGATAAATGTGAAACCCACCCTATAGATCATAGAAACCATAAACAGTGGGGTAAATATTGTAAATTTAAGAAGAGATTTACTAATTGATTTTTCAAAAGGTGAATATTGATAGAAAAATTGATGTCAGTAACAAGCTCTTTGGTTTTTGAAACAATTTTTAATAATTACATTTTTGGCAGAAAAAGTATGAAGAGAAATTTTGGCTTCTGTTTTGTATGTTTCAGGATTCTTATGCATCAGAAATCTCCTTCTCCTCTTCCCTTGCTTCCTTCCTTCCTTCTTCCTCTAACTGATAAATCCTCATATTACAAAGAAAAAAATAAGAACATATTTAAAATCTAACAGAGAGAAAAATCTAGTTTAATGCCCTCCTTCTATTATGGGCCTCTGATGAACCAAATACAATTCCAAATATCTTGGACACTTTTATTTCATCTTTTAAATCTATTAACAGCTAAGAGTAAGCCAGTAAGCAACATTCCTCCATGGTTCCTGCCTCCATATTCCTGACTGAGTCCCTGCCCAGACTTCCCTCAATAATAGACTGTGGCCTGAAAGTGTGAGTGGGGTAAGCCTTCCCCGCCCCCACCACCAGCTTTGGGGCAGAGTGTTTTATCACAAGCAACAGAAAAGGAAACTTAGACAGCTAACAGTCTTCTATGGGATTACAGATGTGTGCTACCTCATACAAAAAAACAAAACAAAACAAACAAACAAACAAAAAACATGGGAAATATCTACGTTTTTAATGTTTGGATTGCAAGGGACTTAAAATATACCCTGCACTGGTCTTTAAATCTCCCAATATGAAGAATAGTTTCAGTTGTTTAGTGGGGTGGAGGAATTAAAGGGCAACAAAAATTATAACTCCTCCTTTAGTTATTGAAATCTGTAGGCGTGATTTCATCTTCTGCAGGAATCCGTCACTCTTAACCTCTGTGCAGAAGATAGTGCCATGTTTAGGAAAGGAGCCTTAATGCACCACGAGCTTTGCCAAATTTCACAGAACAGTTGGCAATAGAGAGCTATTAAAAACAAAAACAATTTCCCACTTCTTTCCTAAGATTCCCTGCACTCTGCCCAAAGGTTGCCCATAAGTCTCAGCATCTGCATTGATAGTCTGCAGGGCAGAGATTTTCAGAGGTCCTGTGTGTCAGTCTCCTGACTTGTTCCCTCTTTTCTCCTTCTTCTGATGTCCAGCCTCTTTGCCTTTCTGGATAGGAATTGAGCATTTTAGCAAGAGTCCTCCTTCTTGATTCGTTTCTTTAGGTGTACAGATTTTAGTAGGTTTATCCTATGTTATATGTCTATATGAGTGAGTATATACCATGTGCATCTCTCTGCTTCATGGGATAGCTCACTCAGGATGATCTTTTCCAGATCCCACCATTTACCTGCAAATTTCATGATTTCCTTGTTTTTTATTGCTGAGTAATATTCCATTGTGTAGATATACCACAATTTGTGCATTGAGCAACAGAACCAAAAAAATCTGAGCACAGGGGTCTTTCCTGAGACCAATACTCCAACCAAGGACTATGCATGGAGATAACCTAAGATCCCTGCACAGATGTAGCCCATGGCAGTTCAGTATCCAAGTGGGTTCCATTGTAATAGGAACAGGGACTAGCTCTGACATGAACTGATTGGCCTGCTCTTTAATTACCTCCCCCTGAGGGGAAAGCAGCATTACCAGGCCACAGAAGAAGACAATGCAGCCACTCCTGATGAGACCTAATTGACTAGGATCAGAAGGAAGGAAAAGAAGTCCTCTCCTATCAGTGGACTTGGGGAGGAGCATGCATGCAGAGGGTGGAGGAAAGGAGGGATTGGGATGGGATGAGGGAGGGGACCACGGGGAGGATACAAAGTGAGTAAAGTGTAATTAATAAAGAAAGAAAAAAAAAACATAAAAAATAAAATTAAAAATTAAAAAAAAAATGGGTCAGGGCTCAAAGACCAAGTGAGAGTAAGTGAGATTTATAGTTAGTTCAAACAACTCTGATACTACACAGCGTTATCAGATTTGAGACTTGGGGGAGACTATGCAAAGACCCGGGAAGGGAAAGCCATGATCTGCTTTGACTGGCTAGCAGAAGGGCGAGAGGAAGCCAACTGGGCTTCCCCATGGTGACCGCCAGCCAATCCGGGGCTGCGCACAGGACGCCGTTGGGACTTCTGCCACTGCCCTGCCGTTACTCACAACAGAGGTGCGAGGACACTGCCAGTGATGTCTTGTGGCCCACCGAACCCAGGCGCAGCCTCCATGCTGAATCATTAGGCTGGAGTGGTATCATATCTTCCATCTATCAGTCTCAGTCTGGCCCTGATCGCAGCGAAACTCACCCCTCAAGAGTCCAGAGGTTTGAAGATAACGGATACAATTACCAGTTCTCCTTTCATCCTAAGAATGTTGTCAGCCCTCTGTAGTCGCTAGAGCGCCATGGCTCTGCACGTCATACCTTCTTCACAAAGACTATCCCACACAAGCCAGACACATGTATCAGGGCACCGCAGGACACAGTTTGGTAAGGACAGGGTTTGTTTGCAAGCTAAGACTGGTAGCTTTCCCTTAGCCTGTGTTGAAGAGGGTATGGGTCTGGACCTTAAATGATATCGGTCATCATCAACACAACAAAGGCTTAAAACTAAAAAGGAAAAAAAAAAAGATGATAAGCTGCCCCTCCAACAGATCCACCCCACCCTCTCTGCCAAGAGGACACATTTCATTAAAACCAAAGTAAACCAAACAAAGCCGGAAAAGGTGGGGACTGGATTCTGCAAACCTTGTTGGAGAATGTTAATGCACAGCTCTTGGAAAGGACAGGGCAGATTCAAAGTACTTTGTTGACAGAAGCTAAAGTTATACCTTTTCCCCTTTTCCTGATAGATCAATGGCTGAGGTATGATAGGGCACAGAGATCATAATTATTTTTTTTTTTAATTTGGGTTTTGTTTGCTCGTTGTTTTTCTCTGGTAAATAGTGACCTGTCTGTTTGCCTTTTGTGCAGATGGGAAGAAAATCCTGACCCTCTGGACCCTGATATGTGGTGCTGTTGCTGTTCTTCTTTGGGGGTTTTTCAGTTTTCCTAGAAAATGTAAGTGATCAGTTTCTGCTAAAAAGAAAAAAAAAAAAACTGTTAGTAATATTAGCCATCCAGCCTGACCCAGCCGGCGGCTGCTTTGCCTCCGAGAAGACCAGTCTTTTGATAAATATGTATTGCATTGAGACAGAGTTCCAGCTGCTGCCGCCACATTCAAACATGGGATTTGTTGCCTGGGAGGAATTTTTTTCTCTGACTGGACAACAACGATCATAAGTAAACAGTTGTGGAAGGGCAGGGTAACAGCTATGCAGAAATTCATTCAATTTGAGGAGAGAGGTTATGAGTCAGGGTGGTCAGATAAAGCTTTATGAAGAGCTGGATGTATGTGCTCAAAGGTAAGACCCTGTAGGTACAATATTCATGTCAGGAAATCATACCAGCTATAGTGGTGGTGGAGGTAAAAAGCAAAGCAGGGTTAGGCTAGGTTGCATTTCCAGAGCGTGTTTATGCAGTGCCACAGGTGAGTGAGTGGAACCTTGATTCTAGCTTGTTCTAACAGAAGCCATGGGCGGAAGACACCACCACCATCACCACTTGGGCTCTCCCGATAGTGGGGTGTTCAGTGTCGACAGTCAATCCTGTATCATCTCACTCTGTTACCAACACTGCCCTCTTCTGTCTTGTACACCATTGTTTTTCGTGCTCTGTGGCCATATCTTTATCAGCAATACAATAAGGTCATAGCTTGCCAAAAAATTTAACTGAAAACAAAATAACCTCATTAGCTCCTACTCTTTATGGATTGCTTATGTTTACTACTTGATACAGAAACCTTCTTGAAATGTTTTTGTTTGCTTTTTCTCTCTCCCCTCCCCGCCACCTTCCTGTTTTCCATCCACCTTCTCTTCCTTTCTCTTTGCAGAGCCTCATGCATTCTAAGCACATAATCTGCCATTAGACATCTAAAGCTCAAACAGCTAAATTTTTGTTTGGTTTAGTTTAGTTTTCTGTGAGGACAGTTGGTGTTTAGAGCCAAACTCAGGATCCTGAGCTTGCTAAGCATGGGTGGTTCTGCTACGGAGCCTCACCCCCCCCCCAACCCTTCTTTTCTAAAAGTTCTATGAAATTCACTCTCATCGGGTTCCTGCTTCAGCTTTTCTCATAAAACTTGTACCCAAGTTTACCAAAAGCTTCAGTAGCCATCATCTGTTTCATCTTACTTGATGATACACATTCATTTTTAAAAATTCTTTCTCTGAAAATTTCATACCATTATACAATATGCTTTGACCATTTCCATCTCCCTCATATTATCCACGATGGCTCCTGTCCAACGTCATGCTCCTCATTTTGTTGTTGTTGATAACCATCTGAAACCAGTTAGTGATGCCTGTATCTAGACCCGATTAACCTACTTGCAGCCACGTCCCCAAAGCTGAGTCATTCCCTCCCTCTTCAAGGATCCATTGTCAATCCAACAAGGATGGGGCCTCAGAGGGAGGGCTTCCCTCTTTCATGTTGGAATTTTCACTGGTTTGATATTGAGAAACGTCACTTCAAAGCAGGTACTAGTGACGCAAACACAGAAAACTGGTCAAACTGCCAAGTGTAAGTAACTGCCAGAGCCCAGCTTTGGATGGATCCTCTGTACTAACTTTCCCCCAGCCAAGGCTCAATGAAAGCATGGAAAGGCAGACGGAATCCATGTAACCACTGAGGGGTGACAAAGAGAACTGTGACATGTTGGCTTCTGTAAAACAGGTTGTCGCTTGGGTCAACTCACAGTAGCTCTGGTACTTCACACGTTTTAAAACTCCTTCCTAAATAAAATTCCATTTGGCCCTCAAGTCAGTAGCTACCACTATTTATCCGCTGCCTACATCACTGCTAACTTTGTATCTTTTGCTCATTCCTTCTCCCCCTACAATTCCCTGCACTTACTGGGCTCAGTGTTTGAACATGTCTCTTCATGTATCCAATCTTTGAAGCATTGTTGTCCTGTTCGCCTTCTGAACTGTTCTCAGAACTTTATCACATAAATACCTCTCTAACCCAGGACACTTCCTTGAATTCAATCATTTTTTAAACTAACCTAGCTACTTGATTATGTAGTAAATATCACAACCTTAATAGTGTTCATGCTAAACTTTCTCTTTCTATAGTGTGTGTGTGGGTGTGTGTGTTGTGTGTGTGCACGCGTGCTCATAGAGTATGTGTCCCAACAGAAATCAGAGGTCAGCCTTGGATGTCTTTCTTCAGGACTTTCACAGCTTGTGTTTTGAGAAAAGGACCCCTCACTAGGACCTGAAACTCAGATGACCTTTAGATGGCTAGCTATCACCTCCCAGGCATCTGCCTCTCCAGTGCTGGGATTACAAGAGAGTGTCACCCAAATTTTTCTTCGGGTTCTGGAGATTTAGCCCAGGTCTTCCCATAATGGCAAACAATGTAGCTGTGGCCTCAATATACGAACTCTTCTTCCTTCTGTCTCTCTCCTCTGTGGTCTTTCATTTGTGGTCTTCCTCATCTCATTGGACAATGAGTATATTCTTCCAACTGCAAAGTAAAAATCTTGTGTATTTTATTTTTTTAATTTTATTTTATTTTTTACAATTTATTCAGTATAAATCCCGATTGAAGCGCCCTCCCTCAACTCCTCCCAGTTCCACCCTCCCTCCCTCTTTGCCCCATCCCCTTCCCCTAGTTTATCAAGTCTCATCAGGATCCTCTTTCTCTGTGGCCTGGCAAGGCCACATCCTCAGGGGCAAGTGATAGAAAGCAGGCAACCGAGGTTATGATAGAGGCAGCCACTGCTCCCCTTACTCAGGAACCCACATGGAGACTGAGTTGCCCATGGGCTACCTCTGAGCAGAGGTCTAGGTCCTCTCCATGCATGGTCCTTGGTTGGTGCATCAGTCTCTGCAATGCCTCTGGGCCCAGATGTTTTGGCTTTGTTGGTCTACTTGTGAGGCTCCTGTCCCCTCCAGGTCTTTCTATCTCCTCCTCCTTCCATAAGACTCCCTGTGCTCTGCCCAAAGTTTGGCTGTGAGTGTCTGCATCTGCTTCGATACCTTGTTGGATAGGGTCTTTCAAAGGACTCTCTATGGTACACTCCCATCCTGTTTCCCCTCTTCCCCCACTTCTGGAGTCTTATCTTGCTTGCCATTCTGAATGAGATTTAAGCATTCTCCCTATGATACTTCTTACTGTTTAGCTTCTTTAGGTGTACAGATTTTAGTATAACTATCCTATGTTATACAGCTAATATCCACTTATAAATGAATGTATACCATATGTGCCTTACTGTTTCTGGGGTACCTATCTCAGGATGATCTTTTCTAGTTCTATCCATTTGCCTACAAATTTCATGATTTTCTTGTATTTAATAGCTGAGTAGTATTCCATTGTATAAATGTACCACAATTTCTGTATCTATTCTTTGGCTGATGGATATCTAAGTTGTTTCCAGATTCTGGCTATTGCAAATAAAGCAGCTATATATAGTTGAGCAAATATTCTTGTTGAATGGTGGCACATCTTTTGGGTATATACCCAGGAGTGACGTTGCTGGATCTTAAGATAGCACTATTCCTAATTTTCTGAGAAAGCACCAGATTGATTGCCAAAGTGGTTGTACAAGTTTGCATTCCTACCAGCAATGGAGGAGGGTTACCCTTTCTCCACGTCTTCTCCAGCATGTCTTGTCACTGGAGTTTTTGATCTTAGCCATTCTGATGGGTATAAGATGGAAAATCAGAGTCATTTTGATTTGCATTTCCATGATGACTAAGGATGTTGAACATTTCTTTAAGTGTTTCTCCACCATTTGCTATCCCACTGTTAAGAATTCTCTGTTTAGCTCTGTACTCCACTTTTGAATTGGATTGTTTGGCTTGTTGGTGCTAATTTTCAGAGTTCTTTATATATTCTGGATATCAGCCCTCTATAGGATGTAAGGTTGGTGAAGATCTTTTCCTAGTCTGTAGGCTGTCGTTTTGTTCTGTTGACAGTGTCCTTTACTTTACAGGAGCTTTTCAGTTTCATGAGGTCCTATTTATTGATTGTTGATCTTAGAGCCTGAGTTGCTGATGTTCTGCTCAGGAAGTTGTCTCCTGTGCCAATGAGTTCAAAGCTTTTCCCCACTTTTTCTTCCAACATACTTTGCATGTCTGGTTTTATGTTGTGGTCTTTGACCCACTTGGACTTTAGTTTCGTGTAGGGTGATAGATATGGGTCTATTTGCATTTTTCTACATGTAGACATCCAGTTAGAACAGCACCATTTGTTGAAGATGCTATCTTTTTTCCATTGTATGTTTTTGTCATCTTTGTCAAACATCAGTTGTCTGTAGGTATGTGGGTTAATTTCTGGGTCTTCTATTCTATTCCATTGATTCACCAGTCTGTTTCTATGCCAGTACCATTCTGTTTTTATTAATGTTGCTCTATGATACAACTTGAGATCAGGGATAGAGATACTTCCAGAAGATCTTTCATTTTACAGGATTGTTTTAGCTATTTTGGGTTTTTTGTTTTTCCATATGAAGTTAAGAATTCTTCTTTCAAGATCTGTAAAGAATTGTGTTGGTAATTTGATAAGAATTGCATTAAATCCAAAGATTGCTTTTGGTAAGTAGGCCATTTTTACTATGTTAATCCTAGTGATCCATGAGCATGAGAGATATTTCCATCTTCTGATATATTCTTCAATTTCCTTTTTTTTTTTCAGAGACTTGAGTTTTTTTTCATACAAATCTTTCACTTGCTTGGTTAGAGTTACATCAAGATATTTTGTGGGTTTTGTGGCAATTCCACTGAAATCAGGGACAAGGCAAAGCTGCCTACTCAATCCATTTCTCTTCAACATGGTACTTGAAGTCCTTGCTAGAGTAATAAGACAAAGGAGTACAAGGGGATTCAAATCAGAAAAGAAGAAGTCAAAGAAATACTATTTGCAGACGATATGATAGTGTACATGAATGACCCCAAAATTTCTACCAGGGAACTCCTACAGCTGATAAACACCTTCAGCAAAGTGATTGGTTACAAAATTAACTCATAAAAAATTCAGTAGCACTCCTGTATACAAAAGACAAATGGACTGAGAAAGAAATTAGAGAAACAACACCCTTCACAATAGCCACAAAAACATAAAGTGCATTTTCTTTTTACTTTTTTATTCTCTGCTTTCCAAATAAAACCGGTAAAGTGTGCCTATTGTTTCCCTGATTCAGATGTGAACTCTTTCCAGTCACTCTCCTGTTGGTCAGCTAGCGCCTCATTTTCTTCTCTCATGTTTTTCTCTCTTCTATCCTCGATCTCTAAAAGAGATCAGCCACTGATATAGTACATCATAACACAAGTTCTATTAATGAGATTTTTACATTTTTTTTTCTACAATATCTTTGTAAGAAAACTGAATCAAATCTGAACTGGCCACATTTCAAGGTTCAATAATCACATAGGGCCAATGACACCCATATGGACAGAGTTTACTTTTTAATGATTAAAAAAATATATATCTGTTAGAAATTTTACATAGTTTTTCATTAAACTTAGAGCAAAGCAGTATGAATGGCTACACTGCCCTTCCTGTGCTTGGTCACCCTGGACTACTGATGCCTTGTACCACTTGATCCTTCGCTTAGTGTGTAGGACCATGTACTTCTTCTTTACTTGGTGAACAAGCCAGGCACACTCACTTCACACCCCTGCATCACCTCTTCCCATTGCTTAAATAGGGGAAAACGGGGAAATGTTCTCCACAGGAGGTAAATACACCTCCCTAGTCCACTCCCTTCAAGTCTTCACTAGGGGCCACCTCTGTCTAAACCTACCCTGAATGCTGTGCTGGTGTCCTTATCCCTTGACCTGGATTCATTCCATGAGAAACTGTATGGTTTCAGGAACGCAGCTTCCATAAAATCAACTATTTTTTTCATGTTATATTCATTTTTTTTTATTCCAAGAGCTACAGGAAGATAAGTGTCTGCCACAAAGTAAGTGCCCAGCTTGGGAGTGGCTGGATGTACACATGAAAGAAGAAGCAAACTAGTAGATTAATGGCAGAACTGGATTTCCGGTAGCCAAGTTTTAAACCAACTGTTTGACTTTGACAGTAGGTGTTTATTTGCACCCAATATTTTAGGGTAATTTGGGACTTGGTATTTTTCAAGTAATTTCGGTGACATGGGTATTTCTGCCGGGCTATCATATCAGGTTTTGTGTAAACAGAACCTTACCGCTAGTTAATTAATGCTTCCAACTGAATAGTCTCCCAATCATAAGCCTGAGTACCAGCCATTCATTATCTTTGTTTCTTTTTCAAGGCATTTGGGAACATCACTTTAAGTACTGTTTTTCTTAGGGCTATTTATAAATAAGCCACTTCATATTTCTACTTCTGTGAGTTAAAAAGGAAACAGGAAATGTTATAAACATTAATAAAATTTCAGTGTTTTTCCCTTTTCTGAATTTTTTTATTCGCTCAAAAACAAAGAACAAAGAAATAGCTTCAACTTCTAAGGAAATGCCGTTTCTGAGAAACAGTTATTGGTTAGCTCACTGAGAGAGAACAAACTCTTTGATGTTATGACGATAGAGGAATCCATTTGTAGTAAAATTTGTCTCAGGTGGCATGTCCAAATTTAAAAGAAGTGAATAAGCAAATAAATTCCAGTAGCATAAAAAATATGAGCAAGCAGTTAGAGGATATTATATTTTCTGGAAGTTGGTTGCAACTGTTTTAAATTACATGTATATCTCAATTTTCCATATACTTCTTTTTCTTGTTGTATTCTCCGTTGACCTGTTATTATGGAGCTAATGGCTAAAGTCAAATGACTGAAATGGGATATGAAAGTGAAATCCATTTTATCTATGTGAAGCACAGAAGAATTTTATCAAAATGAAAGTCAGACTCTTTTCTCTTACAGTGTCTTCATGTCTTATGTTCATTTCAGTTGTAGTCACAAGACTGGTCAAAAATAAGACGTGTGACGGTGAAAACATGATATGTATGAGTGCCTGGAATAAAGTTAACCAGAACTGCTTCTTTCTTTTTCACCATAAAAATACATGGATCAGTGCAGAGGAACACTGCATAATCTACCATGGACATCTGGCGAAATTCAACACCAAGAGCGAACTGGTGAGAATCAGAGGGGAAGATAGAAAACTAACACAGTAATAGAAATTACATGAATTACAAAAAGCCATTAAATACAAATCAAAGCATTTTATCATTTCTTTAAGTAGGTAGATTAAAGCAAGGTCACATTTTCTTGAAATGATGACATTTGAGCAAAGAAATAAAGCAGGTAGGGCAGTTAGTCAAGGGAGCATCTAGGGATGAAGACTCTGGGGAAGTAAATCAGCTATAACACGGTTCAGGTTCAAGATGACTAAATGCCTGGAGTAGTCAAGGAACCAAAAAGGAAAAAAGATAAAAGAAAAAGAAAATTAGGCAATCAGCTTGTGTAAAGCTGGGAAGTAAGAATGTGACTACAAGAATCTTGCAGGCCATTACAGAGATTTGAGTTTTTTGCATCAGGCAAAACAGGTGGCTATTTCAAAATTAATGTTAAAAGTACTATGTTCTAACTTCAGTCTTTTAATTAACTAATTTATTAATTAACTTTACAACCTGATCACAACCTCCCCTTCTTCCTCTCCTTCCAGTCTCCCCCTCTCACCTTCCCTCCACCTAATCCTCTTTTCCTCCTTTTCTCCTCAGAAAAGGAAGGCCTTCTATTGGTATCAACCAGCCTTGGCATATTAAGTTTCAGTAAGACAGTAAGCATCTTTTCCTATTGAGGTTAGATGAGGCAACCCAGTAGAAGAAAAAAGGTACCAAAGGCAGGCCATGTAGTCAGAGACAGCCCCTGCTATCACTAACTTCTGTCTTCACAGAATCACATTCTTTGCTGTAACAAATACAAAGATAGGAAGTTAGACACTCAGCCCTTACAGGAACTGTGGTAAGAGCATAATGGACTCTAAGGGCAATAACTTTTCATGTAATGAGAATGAGACCCTAGGAGATGTCTCTGATAGCACTCTGTTTTGTCACAGGACATTTTCTTAAGCCATGTGAAGAAAGGACAGTCTTCATATTGGATTGGACTGAACAAACGAAACTCACGGGGAATCTGGGTTTGGACAGATGGAACTAAATACAATAATGTGTAAGATATATTTATTTAGTGTTAATTGGAAAACACGGTCAAATTTATAACTCGATAAATAGATACATCTACTATTTCTTTAAATATCTCTGAAATAAGCCCTCCTACAGGTGCTTCAGGCAAACGGCTAGTCTTTAGGGACAGAATGCCTTCAAACACCAGTGTTTGTTTCTGTGTTTAACTAGGTTGCACATGTCTTCATTTCATTCTAGACATGACCTAAGTTTAACTCTTGACTGAGTACAAATTGTCTTTGTGTGCACGTGTGTGTGTGTGTGTGTGTGTGTGTGTGTTCACTTCTCATTGGTAAAGAGTAAGTATCTGAAGATATACTGACATGTACATTTTCCTTAGCCAGCAGTGACCTAACAATACGGATGAGAATAGATTGGGAAGAGAGAGGTTTGATTTCCTTTTGCTTAAAATATCAGAACTTCTCTGTTGTCCCAAACACAAAGAAATTAATTGTATCCTTAAAGTCTATTTTTGTTCTGGAAACATTCAAAATTTCTCCCGACCTCAGAATGAAAGAAAGATTGTATTTTCTAGAGAGGAGCCTCGGGCTTCACTGTGCTGAGTACCCTCCCATGGCAGGTGCTTGCTCCATCACATTACTATTACCTCAGCAGAAGAACTTCCTCATCTGAGAGACATTTCTGTGGTATCCTATCTGCATCAAAATATGTTGAAAACACACAATGACTTCAAAGCAGCAACATAACCAATTGCGGGTGTTTTTTTTTTTTTTTTCACTTTGAAGTAAATGTAAGAAATGGATGACACAATGACACAAGTTGAACTGTGAGTACAGAACATAATTCCTCTGGTGTTTTCTTGAAAGAAAATACTGACAACTTAAGTTGTTATGTATTTACTATTTTAAAAAAAAACTGAGAGAAAGGTAAAGCTATGAGCTGGTGAATCGGTGTGTTGCTTTGTTAGGGTCACCACAATAAATGTCACAGAATGAGCAGAATAAGCAACAAATTTGGAGTCTGGAAGTCCACAGTCAAGGTGCTGTCAGGGTCTGTTTCTTCTGCCTCTTGCATTGGTGTGTAGGTCCCTGCCACCTCACTCTGTCTTTCCGATGGCTTAACCTGTGTGCATACTCAAGGAAGTACCTGAATTACTTTTTCTTAAAAGAACATCAGTGGTACATGAAGTCAGCAAGTGTAGGTCAGTGGCAGAGATCTTACCTAGCAGTGGAAAGGGCTTCACTCACAACATGGCAGGGGGAAGGGGAGAAAAAGAAAGGAAGGAAGGAAGGAGAAAGAAAGAAAGAAAGAAAGAAAGAAAGAAAGAAAGAAAGAAAGAAAGAAAGAAAGAAAGGAAGAAAGAAGAAAGAAAGAAAGAAAGAAAGAAAGAAAGAAAGAAAGAAAGAAAGAAAGAAGAAAAGAAAGCTTTAAAATCTTTGGTTACATTCTGCGCCACTATGGGTAGGGCTTCCTCATATAGAAGTCCCATGATGGTTGATGGGAACCCTAGCACACTGGGCATGTGTAGACATGGAAGTACAGCAGCAGCTCCTTTCCATCTGCAAGTTCCATGTGTGGACTCAGCCAACCACAGGCGGAGAGCTTTAGGGAGTGAACTGATCATGCCGGTACTGAAAACGCAGAGTGCTTATTTTCTTGTCCTCATAGCCTGACAATACAGCATAAGTACTGCTCCCATAACGTGGGCATGATTCCAGAGAAGTTATTTAGGGACACACTGAGGTCTGTGATGGGAGCTACGCCAACACTGCATCATTTCACGTAGAGGACCTGGTGGTCCCTTCAACTACTTCCTCAGGAATACTGAAGAGCTGAGAATACATACATATTTTAGGAAAGGGTGAGACAAAAATTTGAGTGTCTCTTAGAAATTGGCAAAGGGCACACCAGTGCTGGCATGTTTCCCTACAAGACAGGTGCTAAAAGCATTTTGATTTCATTATAATCAGAACTTCACCAAGACCCACTGCTGTGTATTTTCTCATGTTGAGTTCTCGATGCTGCATGATTATATATGTGACCTAAAGCAGGAACCTAGAAAATCTTTCCCAGCAACTTTATGTAGTGCCTTGTATACACCCTGTCACTCTGCAGTGCAAACGATACCTATCTCACAATGGGGTTGGCTACAGAGTGGCCATATGAATTTATTCTTGAAATTTATGAAAGACCTATCCTGAAAAGGATGGAAAGAAATGTTCCCTGAAATGCCAGTCACACACTCTCTATACCCCTCCCCTAAGTGCCTAAATACATTGATTTATTCATTTTCATTGCCAACATACATGGAAGAATCTGATCCCACTCTGAGGGGTTATGATGTTGGCAGCATGAAGTGCCAGGCTACACTGCTGAGGGGTGGGGTCACAGCGTGCCTCTCCAGCAGAGTCTGGAGGTTAAGTGTGAAGTTTGATAAGAGAACAGCGACAGTTGAGAAGAGAAACTGTGATGTGAACTGGGATCACCAAAGCTTAGTTCCATTCATTATATGAGGGTATCCTGGGTCTTGTAAATAAGGAAGCTATCCCTTTGTTTTGTTCTAGGGCAAGAATACAAGATCATGGTGAGTGTGCCTTCATGCAAAAAAATGGCATAGACAGTACCAATTGTGATGACCTAAGAGACTTTATTTGTATCAAACCAAGCCTGTGCCTTTGAGGATTTCTTCCATCCAAAAGAAAATGAAGAACCATGTCTCATTTTGTGCATGATGTGTTTTCCTTCCCACCAACTTTGTTTTTACATCTAATTTGATAAACATTTGCATGAATTTTAATTGAAACAGTTATTAAGAAGCCTAGAGATTAAACTGAGTTTGACATATAAGTGCTGGGTCATCAAGGTTGGTGCGTTTGAAGCTATGGGCATGGAGGTCCTTGCTCGGAAGTATTCATGTCAGTATTGGAGGGCAGAGAGAAGAGAGAGAAAGATCCCTCTGCTTGTCTGAAATTCTGTAAAATCTGCAGAAAAGAGAAACAAGAGCAAGTGTGGAAAAGGTTTCATTTGACCTCAAATAAATCATGATTCACGTGGAGCTGTAAAGGAAGTCACGAGGATGACTGAGGACCTGTGTCACTGCTGAAGACCGGGCCATTCTCCACAGGTCTCTATAGACCCTCGCCAAGCTGCCAAGCTGCCAAGCTGCCAAGCTGCCAAGCTGCCAAGCTGCCAAGTTGCCAAACTGAAGGACTTACCATAACCTGGATTTGTTGTTGCCATAGTTACTGAAAGAGTGGAGGAGGCAAGTTCTGTGATGATGAAGGAAGAAGCTGCATGACCTTGAAGGAAAAATGAAGATTAGCCTGGCTCACAAAAGCTGTTTCACTCAGATAATGGTTATAATAATGAAATGATCTTGGAGGGAAGAGGGGAAGAGGTTAAAACTGGTCATCATTAAAAGTCTCTTCAACTACCATGGGTCTTCCATAATAAGTGATCCTCAAGTTTATATTTTATGTTGTGTGTGAAGTGTGAAAGGGTACAGGCTACATAAACTAAAAAGGGAACTCTGGGGGTGGCGGGGAGTTCTGAAGGAGGAGAGAAGGCAATAGACTACATGTGACATTAAACCAGGAAGACCACAATAAGGAGGAGGGAGACCATTGAGAGGAGGACAGAGGGACAGAGGAGGAGAGTGGGGCAGGAGGACTTAATAGAACAAAATGTGCATCCCCTGAAACCTGTGCTGGGCTAAACAAGACCCAGCTACTGCTCATCTCCAAAGGGTGGGCAAGGATCACGAAGCATTTAGGCAATTCAGTGGCTTAAAAAGCATGGTTTGTCACTTAGTTTTCTATATTCCAGAGCCTGAGCTTGCGCTGTGGAAGATGAAATAGAGACAAGCTTGGGGAAGACAGGAACTGGTTCGGGTGGTGAAGGGAGACACTAGACACTAGAACTGCTTTCATTGGTGACTCTCATCTCTGCCTTTCTTTCCTTCTCAAGAATTCCTGAATCTACCTTTATCCTCCATGAGAGTTGCTCAGCTCCCTTAATCTCAGTGTGGTGTCATCTACAAATAATTATAATGAGGAGGATTTTCATTGACTTGATGACTGCACTGGGGTGTGAGCAGCTTTAACTCAGAGCTTCAGCTACGGTATTTTGTGTTAGCAATTATCATCTCCAAAGTCACCTTAACACCAAAGATAAGTGCATATTAGTTGCCCAGTAGATATTAACTAAAATACACACAGCACAATTGGTGGTTTACGCCAAGTAAAGAACAAAGCATGAATGAAAATGTTATCATGAAACCCATTACTTTGCAGGCTGATTTAGAAATTAATTATAAAACTAAAATGTCTCTACATCTTTTAGGCAAGGAATGGTGTCACATGCCTATAATCCTAGCACTTCAGAGGCTGACGCAGAAGAATGGTGAGGTCCATGTCAGCCTGTGCTATGTAGTTAGACCCTACACAAAAGCTCAAACAAGGTTCTGGAGAGATAGTTAAGTCAGTTTAGTGCTTGGTGTGCAAACACAAGGGCCCGAGTTTGATTCTCCATCACCCACATTAAAAGCCCAGCCTAGCAAACCCCAGTTTATAATCTCAGCACTGAAAAGTCAGAGACAGGGCTGCTGGGGATTGCAAGCCAGACAGTCTTGAAAAGCTAAGGTCCTAGTCCAGTGAGCAAACCTCTCCAGAACTAAGGTGCAGGGATGGAGACTTGGTGGGCTTGGTGTTCTTGCAGAGGACCCATAGGTCTGTTCCTAAAACCCATCCCCAGGGACTCATCTCCACCTGTAACTCCAGCTCCAGGGTATCTGACATCCTCTCCTGGCCTCCAAGGACACCTGCACAGACACGTTCATATATGCACTTGTGTAGCTAATTCTTTGAGCAAATTAAAGCTTAACTCATTTACCTGACATTATGCTAAGTGGCAGAAACACATTTTAAAAAATCATGTCCCTCCTAATGCACAGTGTAGAAGTTCAATGAATAGAAAAAATAGAAATCACATTCTAACCGCAAACAGATTTTTTTTTTCATTCACTCTAGGGCATTGGGTTTAATGATGATTAACGTGTTAACAGGGTAAATAAAGGTTTTGTTAAAATATAACTTAAGTGCTGTGCAAGAACTATGCGTGGTCTAAGGATTCAGATTCTGAACGGGACTCATAGATACTCAGATTTCTTGTTCTCTGAAGCTGTCCAGAACTCATTGCAAGATCAATGTCTGATGCCTGTGTAGGATGAACTTGCCACCAAAATGGACTGAGACAAAAAATGTACAGTATTAGAAAGAGCCGGACTTCCCGATGATGCATAGGAAAGGTTATGAAGAAAGGGCAAAGGGGCAGGGGATTGACCTCATGATGATAGTCGTGGTTGTTTTGTTTTTTTCAGGATAGGTGGTTATTTTCATCCACTCCCAATTTACTCCAATGATGGTTCCCAGAGTGGACCTCTCACATGTGACCTCATCACACTGCTGGCCATATCAGAATTATTTTCCATCTTACCATTTTCCTTGGAGTGTTAACCAAAAAAACCTTAGAATGGCAAAAACATAAGCGGCCTGTTGTCTGGAGCCATCTTCCACTACAATCTCCCTCCACAAACAACCGGCTTCTTACCCTTTTGACAGGATGACCTTTGCTTAAACACCTTGGCACACTTGTGCTGGAATGATATTCTCCCATATTCAGCACCCTTCTCTCTTTCCTCTTAAGTCTACTCAAGTTCCACCTTAGTGATGACCACAGCCATTGGTACACCATCTTGTTAGTGACCAGCTTTTTTCTCTCCTTTTCTAAACAGAACTTATTGAACAGTGAAATGACACATGATTTTTTTCTTTAACATTTTTATTTCTTTTTTTATTATAGTTTATTCACTTTGCATCCCACCTGTACCCCCCTTCCTCCTCCCCTCCCAACCCTACCCTCTCTCCCTCTTTTCCACCCATGCCTCTCCCCCAGTCCACTGATAGGGGTGGTCCTCCTCCCCTTCCACCTGACCTTAGTCTATGAGGTCTCATCAGGAGTGGCTGCATTGCCTTCCTCTGTGACCTGGTAAAGCTGCACCCCCCTGAGGGGCAGGTGATCAAAGAGCAGGCCAATCAGTTCATGTCAGAAACAGTCCCTGTTCCCCTTACTAGGGAACCCATTTGGACACTGAGGTGAGCAGGGGTTCTAGGCTATCTCCATGAATGGTCCTTGGTTGGAGTATCAGTCTCAGAAAAGAGCCCTGTGTCCAGAGTTTTTGGTTTTGTTGCTCTCCTTGTGGAGCACCTGTCCCCTTCAGGTCTTTCTCTCTCCCCCTTCTTTCATAAGATTCCCTGCACTCTGCTCAAAGTTTGGCTATGAGCCTCAGCATCTACTTTGATACCCTGCAGGGTAGAGTCTTGCAGGGGCCCTCTGTGGTAGGCTCCTGTCCTGTTCCCTGTTCTCTCCCTCTTCTAATGTCCATGCCGTTTGCTTTTCTGAGGATTGAGCATCTTACCAGGGTCCTCCTTCTTGCTTAGCTTCTTTAGGTGTACAGATTTTAGCATGCTTTTCCTATATTATATGTCTAATATCCACTTATTAGTGAGTATATACCATGTGTGTCTTTCTGCTTCTGGGATACTTCACTCAGGATGATCTTTTCTAGATCCCACCATTTGCCTGCAAATTTCATGATTTCCTCGTTTTTAATTGCTGAGTAGTAGTCCATTGTGTAGATATACCACAATTTCTGTATCCATTCCTCAACTGAGGGGCATCTGGGTTGTTTCCAGATTCTGGCTATAACAAATAAAGCTACTATGAACATGGTTGAGCAAATATCCTTGTTGTATACTTGAGCATCTTTTTGATATATGCCTAGGAATGATATTGCTGGATCTTGAGGTAGCACTGTTCCTAATTGTCTGACAAAGTGCTAGATTGATTTCCAAAGTGGTTGTACAAGTTTACATCCCCACCAGCAATGGAAGAGGGTTTCTCTTTCTCCACAACCTCTCCAGCATGTGTTATCACTTGAGTTTTTGATCTTAGCCATTCTGATGGGTGTAAGGTAAAATCTCAGGGTTGTTTTGATTTGCATTTCCCTGATAGCTAAGGATGTTGAGCATTTCTTTAAGTGTTTCTCTGCCATTCAAAATTCCTCTATTGAGAATTCTCTGTTTAGCTCATACCCCATTTCTTTAATTGGATTACTTGATTTGTTGCTGTTTAACTTCTTGAGTTCTTTATATATTCTCTAAGTTCTTGTTTATCCTTCATCTGGGTCCCTTTCTCCATCCATACCATCTTCAGAGTCCTTCCTCCTGGCCCACATGGCTCCTTCTTCATGCTAACCCATTGTGGCATCCTCCTTTCTCCTCTCTTCCCATCTCTCTGTCTACTTCCCCTGATTCTTCTGTACCCCAAAGCCCAGGAACATTAGCCGTGCCTATCTTTTTCTGCCCTGCCCAGGTACAGGCCTTCTAATCAACCAATAAGGAATAATGTCTTGGGCAGATTACACAATAAGGATAAGGCAGTAACCACATCTTGAGAGCCAGTAATTAGCCTCAAAATACAAGCTTCAGACCAACCCCCAACAAAACAGTAAAAGTGGATGCCAGAGTTTAATTTTTGTTAATCTATTCTACACATGCATAATAGATTATGAAGCATGAAACAAGCATTTCTAACTCTCATTTTCATATTCTCAGTACTCC